CTCCGCGTCACGGCCCCTCTGCTGACCCTGCGTGCCCCCCCCCGGCGCTCCCAGCCCCGCCCTCGCCCTCCGCAGCAGCGGCAGAGCAAAGAAGCCGCCGCATGGCCTCGGCGCGAGGCAAAGGCGCGCCGCACCTGCTCCGTTCAGCGTAGGCAGCGCGTCAGCCTAGGGCTTTCCGTCACGCCGTCTGTATGTTGGAAGTTGCACGTAACAACGCGTTCTCCGGGAGCACCCGCCAGCCGCGGGCCAGATGGGCCCTTCCCTACAAAGCGTTTGCTGGCCGCGTTTCGGCCAGGCACCCACGAGGTTACGCACACACAGGCTGAGAGGCTGCCCGCCCGGGGCAGCCCCCCATCTCAGAACGGGGAACTCCTAGGACAAAAGCCATACGGAAGTTTTCATTTGTAAGGATTCTAATAAAAGCTTCACAAAAAAAAAAGAATATCCAGCACTACCAGGACAGACAGACTACTCCACGCACTGCTTTATAGCCACATACGCAAAGAACAGACACTTAAAAAACCAGGTGAGCAGCGATAGCAGGAACAGGCTATAGGTGGGCCTCCAGCACAACCTGGTTTTGCTTCAATAAGGCTATTGACCGTTGCAAATAACAGCAGAAACAGTGAAGTTGCTACAAGTGACCCCGTAGGTCAGCCCAGTCACAGCAGCAGCCGTACTGCCTCGGGTCCTCTGCAGACAAACGGGGAGAGGGTCCCTGCTTTACCGGAGCAGTTTCACCAGTCCAAGAGACTCCTTCCACGTACGAGATGCTGCTCCAAAAGACCCGCGTGATACCTCCCTCTCCAGAACGTACCCAAGTGAAAACACCCCATGCAACAGAACGGAAACTGAGAAATAGCATCAGAGGAAAAAAAAAAAAAAGCAAATATATTTTTTCCTGACAGTAAACGCTATCAGTAAAAAGTATTTTATTAAAGCATTGAAAAATCTTAGCTTTTACCTCAACAACTTCAGTGCCTCTATGAAGAGCAGCCACCCTTTCGAGAAACATCGCCACTGAAAGCGGAATGGGAGAGTTGCCCTGAATTTGTAAGTGATTCAGGGGTGGGGCTAACAAGCTCGGCTGGAGCCTCCCTGCTTTGCAGGGTGGCAACGAGCAAGAAAGCGTGCGGAGGTGTGATGGGATAACGGGCTGGTTTTTGCCATGGTGAGCTATTTTGGGAGCAAAAAGCCTTCTTACAGAGAAGAACAAGAAGTTGATTTTATTTTTTCCCCGTTTAACAGCAAGACCGATGGAGTCTTGCTTATGATACCATTGACCGCCAGGCATTTCTCATCGAAGTAAGTAATTGCGCAGCAGTTGCCAGCAGACCCTTACTGGGGAGCACGCACTTATACGCCAGAGAGCCGCGAAGAGAATGCGCTCCCCTAGAGTTACTTCGTGTAAAAGGTGAAAAGCATGTAGAATTCTTAACTCCCGAACGTTCAGACTCGGATAGTGAAATAATTTCCGCGGCTAGCAGGTACCTACCCGGTAGGAACCACGCTGGCACTTGCCCGACGGAGGAAACAGTTATTGTTTCTTTCATTCTCTCGTGGTTATTTATATTAAATAAATAACTTTTTAAAATACGCGTAACAGTTAGCGCGGTGGTTTGTTCTTTGTCGGTGAAGTGGACGAGGATAACCAGACAGACGCGTCGGGAGCAAAGGTGCTGGCTTCGCGCCCGTTCCTCTGACAGCGTCGAGAAGTCTGACGCCACCCGACCCCTTTCTCCCGGTAAAGGCGCGTGTGTGCGTGCGCGCGTATACACGTGGGTATATGGTCTTGCTTCATGTCACCAAATATCAATCATCCCAAGCATCTGTCATTTATTTTAGGAACAGCGTTCGATTGGGTTTCGGTTGGCTTAGTGTTTTAACGATTTCAATCAACTCGTGAGAGTTTTCCCTAGAAAATGAAGGGAATTAAAACCCCGTAACGCTTCCGTAACTGGGGATTTTTAAGACCAAATCTACTGATTTTTCTAACATGCCCCTTGCTAGTAACTGCTTAGGCCGCCAACGAAGGGAGACTCGGAAGCGGTGACGCGCTAGGCGTAGGCATGAGGTCACAGCAACGGGTTTTTTTTCTCTAGAGTCGCCTTTCCCCGCTCCCTCCGGAGAAACGCTCCGCCGCCTGCGGACCTGCAGGCAGGAGGAAGGAGGCCGCCCCCGGTGCGTCCA